ATTTATATAGTTTAATAAAAACATTATATTTTCAATATAAAAATAATTTAAAATTATAAAAAATTTATAAATATATTTATAAATTTATATTTAAAATTTATAAACCGTGAAATATTTTAAAAATAAAGCTTCTAACTTTATATAGGATATAAAAATCCATATTTCTATTTAATTTATAAAGTTAATAAAATTAACATTATATTTATTAATATAAAAATAATTTATATCAAATTTATAAATATATTTATAAATTTATATTTAAAATTTATAAACCGTGAAATATTTTAAAAATAAAGCTTCTAACTTTATATAGGATATAAAAATCCATATTTCTATTTAATTTATAAAGTTAATAAAATTAACATTATATTTATTAATATAAAAATAATTTATATCAAATTTATAAATATATTTATAAATTTATATTTAAAATTTATAAACCGTGAAATATTTTAAAAATAAAGCTTCTAACTTTATATAGGATATAAAAATCCATATTTCTATTTAATTTATAAAGTTAATAAAATTAACATTATATTTATTAATATAAAAATAATTTATATCAAATTTATAAATATATTTATAAATTTATATTTAAAATTTATAAACCGACTATATAATAAGCTAAATAAAGCTAATAGGTTCATACCCTGTCGATAAATTAAAAATTTTTATATAAAAATTTTATTTTAAATTTTATAAATTTATTTTAGTGTTTAAGCACATAAAACTTTGAATTTTAAAGGATTAATTAATTTAATAAATAAATTTTTAAATTTTTAAATAAAAAATTATTAAATTTTAAAAATATTAGTATAAAAATTCAATGGATATTAGTTAATATTTATAACATTTAAATTGCATTTAAAAATTAATAATAATATATTATATCTAATAAATAATAAAGTAATATGTCTGATTAAAGAAATATTTTGATAAAATATTCAAGTATAATTAATTTATACTATTACTTAATAATATATAAAAATAAATAAAATTTTTTATATATTATTTATTTTTTTAAATAATAAACATAATTTATTTATTTATTTATTAATTTTTTTTTTAATTTTAATTATAAATTTAAATAATACCTTTGTTCAATGATTAGTTATAGAATTTAGAACTATTGTAAGAATTAGATTAATTAATATTAAATCATCAAATAAAATCCCAAGATTAATTTATTATATAATTTCAGTTATTTCAAGAATATTTTTATTTTTAGTAATTATTATTTATTTAAGACCAACCTATTTTCTAAAACATCCTATATTAAATTTTTTAATACAAATAATATTTTTCTTAAAAATTGGAATTTTTCCATTTCATTATTGATTAATTTATTCATATGAAATAATAAAATGAAATCAAATTTTTTTAATATCTACATTAATTAAATTTATACCAATTTATATACTTTATACATTAACATATATAAATTTATGAACAATAATATACTTATTAACTAGAAATTTATTGATTTCATTATTTGCTAATAAATTTTATTCTTTAAAGAAATTATTAGCATGTTCAACAATTTTTAATTCATTATATTTTATTATATTATTATTTTTAAATAAAACATTATTTTTTATTTTTATTATTATTTATTCAATTAATTATTATATATTAATTAATTATTTTTATAAATTTAATATTAATAATTTAAATTTTATATTTTTAAATAAATATCAATCTTATATATTTTTAATTTTAATTTTTAATTATTCTATATTTCCAATTTTATTAACTTTTATTATTAAATGAATATTAATTTATCTTTTAATTTCAAGAAAATTATATAATTGAATATTATTTATTATTTTAATTTCTAGAATAATTATAATCTGAAATTATTTTATTTTATTAAAAAATTTATTTATAAAAATAAATTTTTATAAAAATAATTTTATATTAAATAAAAATAATATAAAATTAAATTTAATATTAATTATTTTTTTAATTTTTAATATAACATTTTTTTTATTAATAAATTTTATTTAATTCAAATAAAAATAATTTTTTAATTATTGTAAAATTATAATTAATCTTTAAATTTGCAATTTAATATTTTATTTAAACTACAATAATTTTATTAAAAAAAATATTTTAAAATTTTTTTAGTATTAGAAAAATTTTAATTTTCAATTTTAAATTTACAATTTAATTCTTTATTAAGATTTAATACTTTAAAAAATTAATTTTAAAAATTACTAAAATTTTTTCTATAAAGATTTTAAGTTAATTAAAACTTTTAATTTTCAAAATTAAATATAAAAATTTTTTTTTTAAATCTTAATTATAAAATGACTTATGTCAACTAATCACAAAAATATTGGAATACTATATTTTATTTTAGCTTTATGATCAGGAATATTAGGATCATCAATAAGATTTTTAATTCGAATAGAACTAAGATCTCCAGGATCCTGAATTAATAATGATCAAATTTATAATACAATTGTTACAAGTCATGCATTTTTAATAATTTTTTTTATAGTTATACCATTTTTGATTGGAGGATTCGGAAATTGATTAATTCCATTAATATTAGGATCTCCTGATATAGCATTTCCACGAATAAATAATATTAGATTTTGATTACTTCCTCCATCATTAATTCTTTTATTATTAAGAAATTTATTTTACCCATCACCAGGAACAGGATGAACTGTTTATCCACCTTTATCAGCTTATTTATATCATTCATCTCCATCAGTAGATTTTGCAATTTTTTCATTACATATATCAGGAAACTCATCAATTATAGGTTCATTAAATTTAATAGTAACAATTATAATAATAAAAAATTTTTCATTAAATTATGATCAAATTTCATTATTTCCATGATCAGTTTTTATTACAGCAATTTTACTTGTTATATCTTTACCAGTTCTCGCAGGAGCAATTACTATATTATTATTTGATCGAAATTTTAATACATCATTTTTTGATCCAATAGGAGGAGGAGATCCTATTCTTTATCAACATTTATTTTGATTTTTTGGACATCCAGAAGTTTATATTTTAATTTTACCAGGATTTGGATTAATTTCACAAATTGTAATAAATGAAAGAGGTAAAAAAGAAATTTTTGGTAATTTAGGAATAATTTATGCTATATTAGGAATTGGATTTTTAGGATTTATTGTTTGAGCTCATCATATATTTACAGTTGGATTAGATGTTGATACACGAGCTTATTTTACATCAGCAACAATAATTATTGCCGTTCCTACAGGAATTAAAGTATTTAGATGATTAGCAACTTATCACGGAGCAAAAATAAAATTAAATATTTCTATTTTATGATCATTAGGATTTATTTTATTATTTACAATTGGAGGATTAACAGGAATTATATTATCAAATTCATCAATTGATATTATTCTTCATGATACTTATTATGTTGTTGGACATTTTCATTATGTATTATCAATAGGAGCTGTATTTGCAATTATTTCTAGATTTATTCATTGATATCCATTAATTACTGGTTTATTATTAAATATTAAATGATTAAAAATTCAATTTATTATAATATTTATTGGTGTAAATCTAACATTTTTTCCTCAACATTTTTTAGGATTAATATCAATACCTCGACGTTATTCAGATTATCCTGACTCATATTATTGTTGAAATTCAATTTCTTCAATTGGATCAACTGTATCATTAAATAGATTAATTTTTTTAATTTTTATTATTATAGAAAGATTAATAGCAAAACGATTATTATTATTTAAATTTAATCAATCATCTCTTGAATGATTAAATTCAACACCACCAATTGAACACTCACATGTAGAAATTCCACTTTTAATTAAAAATTTAAATTTAAAATCAATCCTTTTAAAATTTTAATATGGCAGAATAGTGCATTGAATTTAAGCTTCAATTATAAAGTTTTTAACTTTTATTAAAATTAATAAATTAATTTAAATATTAAAATTTATTAATATTTCTACATGAATAATATTTATATTTCAAGAATCAAACTCATTTTATGCTGATAATTTAGTGTCATTTCACAATTTAGTAATAATAATTATTATTATAATTTCAACACTTACAATTTATATTATTTTTGATTTATTTATAAATAAATTTTCAAATTTATTTTTATTAAAAAATCATAATATTGAAATTATTTGAACAATTGTTCCTATTGTAATTTTATTAATTATTTGTTTTCCATCATTAAAAATTTTATATTTAATTGATGAAATTATTAATCCATTCTTTTCTATTAAATCAATTGGACACCAATGATACTGATCATATGAATACCCTGAATTTAATAATATTGAATTTGATTCATATATATTAAATTATAGAAATTTAAATCAATTTCGATTATTAGAAACTGACAATCGAATAATTATCCCAATAAAAATTCCTATACGATTAATTACTACATCAACTGATGTAATTCATTCATGAACTGTCCCTTCATTAGGTATTAAAGTTGATGCAGTTCCAGGTCGAATTAATCAATTAAATTTAATTAGAAAACGTCCAGGAATTTTTTTTGGTCAATGTTCAGAAATTTGTGGAATAAATCATAGATTCATACCTATTATAGTTGAATCAACATCATTTAAATTTTTCTTAAATTGAATTAATAAAATAAACTAAAATTTAAATAAAAAATTAGTTAAATTTATAACATTAGTTTGTCAAACTAAAATTAATTTTTAAAAAATTATTTTTTAAAATTCATTAGATGTCTGAAATTTAAGAGTTGATCTTTTAAATCAAATATAGTATTTTAATAAATTACTTCTAATGAATTTTATTCCTCAAATAATACCTATTAAATGATTCATAATTTATTTTATTTATTTAATTGTTTTTTATATATTCATTATATTAATAAATTCATTCTTAATTAAATTTAATTTAAAATTTAAAAAAACTTCAAAATCTTTAAAAAAATGAAACTGACTATGATAATAAATTTATTTGAAATATTTGATCCTTCATTTAACAATTATTTATCATTAAATTGATTATTTATATTTCTTCCTATTATTGTTATACCAAGAACTTTCTGATTAATTCAATCACGTATTTTATTTACATTTAAAACTTTATTAAATTATATATATAATGAATTTAAAGTAATTTCTAAATCAAATTATCAATCTAATATTATTATTTTTATTAGATTAATAATTTATATTATAATTACAAATTTATTTAGATTAATTCCTTATATTTTTACTTTAACAAGACATTTATTATTAAATATAATTTTATCATTAACATTATGATTTAGATTCTTAATTTATTTAATTTATAAAAATACAATACAATTTTTAAGACATCTTGTTCCATTAAATTCACCAGTATTTTTAATAAATTTCATAGTAATTATTGAATTAATTAGATTAATTATTCGACCATGAACTTTATCAATTCGATTATCAGCAAATTTAATTTCTGGACATTTAATTTTAACTCTTCTAGGTATTTTTATTAGAAATTTTATTACATTATTACCAATTAATATTTTAATTCAAAATATATTATTAACACTAGAAATTTTTATATCTATTATTCAAAGATATGTATTTTCTATTCTTTTAATTCTTTATTTTTCTGAATCAAATTAAATTAATGAAAAAAAATTTTCCATTTCATATAGTAACAAATAGTCCATGACCAATTATTTTATCATTTAGATTATTCAATATATTTACAAGAACTGCAATTTGAATTTATTTATCAAATAATTTATTTATAATATTTAATTTAATTAATACAACATTAATTATAATTATATGATTTCGAGATATTATTCGAGAAAGAACATATCAAGGATCTCATACACTTTATGTTACAAATTTTTTAAAATTTAGAATAATTTTATTTATTTTATCAGAATTAATATTTTTTATTTCATTTTTTTGAACATTTTTTCATTCATCAATCTCTCCAAATATTGAAATAGATATAATATGACCACCAAAAAATATTAAATTCTTTAATCCATTCGAAATCCCATTATTAAATTCTTTTATTTTAGTAACTTCAGGATTTACAGTAACTTTAAGACATTATTATTTATTAATAAATAATTTAAAATTAAGAAAATTTTATTTAATATTTACTGTTTCATTAGGAATCTATTTTACATTTCTTCAATCAATTGAATATATTAATTCACATTTTTGTTTTAATGATAGAATTTATGGATCAATTTTTTTTATAGCCACTGGATTTCATGGATTACATGTACTAATTGGATCAATCTTATTACTAATTTCATTTTATCGAATAAAAAATATTCATTTTTCTAATATACATAATATTAATTTTGAATTAGCAATTTGATATTGACATTTCGTTGATGTAATTTGACTATTTCTTTATACATTTATTTATTTATTAATTTAATAAATAAATTTCTTAAATATAAATATATATATATATATATATATAGTATAATAAATTACATTTAATTTCCAATTAAAAAATTTAATAACATATTTAATATATATAATTATTTATATCTATATATACTTTATTTTAATTTTTATTATTTCATTTATTTTATTATTAATTAATAAATTTATTTCAATAAAAAAAAAAATAGATTTTGAAAAAAGATCACCATTTGAATGCGGATTTAACCCAATTACAAAATCTAATTTACCATTTTCTCTCCCATTTTATTTAATTACTATAATATTTTTAATTTTTGATGTAGAAATTATTTTATTTTTACCAATAATTTTTTATTTAAAATCAATTAATTCAATTATTACATTCTTATTAATTTCATTATTTCTAATTTTATTAATTATTACCTTAATTTTTGAATGAATAAATAATTACTTAAATTGAATATACTAATATTTTAATTTTATTATAAAGGATTTATAAAATAAATCAAATCTTTAAGTCGAAATTAAAAGTAAAAATTACTTCTTTATATAAAAATACTATAAAATTAGTTAAAGCTAAAAATTAGCAATTTATTGTTAATAAATCATATGAATTATATTTATTCTAACTAAAAATAATTTATTATTTAAAAAATTAAAAATTTTCATTAATATTTTCAATATTATGCTCTAATATAAGCTATTTAAATTAAATTTAATTAATATAATAATTAATTATAAAAATTATTAAAGAAATTAAATAAATTATAGTTAATAATAAAGTATTGATTATTAAATTTTTAATTTTAATATTATATAAATTTATAAGTAATGATATAAACTTTCCTCTAAATGATTCAATAAATATTTTTTCAAATTCAATTTCATAACCAAATATATACATTAATAAACCTAAATAAATTTTCTTATAAATAAAATTTATATTTAAAAATATTATAAAAAATGAACCAATACTATTATTTAATAAATTAAATTTATAAAAATTATATCCCATAACTAATCCTAATATTAATATTTTCAAAATTATAAATTTATAAATTAAAATCAAATTTACACCATATAAACTAAAATTTATTAAATTAAATATTAATTTTCTATAAATTAATCTTAAAATTATCATAATTAATATTGTAATTCCTATAATATCATCTTCCTTAGAAAAAATAATATTTAATTTTAAAAAATTTCTTGTTAAAACTAAAATAATTCGAAAAGTATAAGAAACAGTTAATATTGTTCTTAAAATTAAATTAATTAAAGAAAAATAATTTATTGGTCTATAAAAAAAATATTCAATAATTAAATCTTTAGAATAAAATCCAACTAAAAAAGGAAATCCACATAATCTTAATATAGAAAATATTAAAATTATTCTTTTTAAAGGATAAATATAAAATATACCATAATATATACGTAAATCTTGAACTCTATTTATATAATGTATAAATCTTCCAACACATATAAACATTAATGATTTAAATATTGCATGAATAAATAAATGTAAAAATACTAAATCACTAAAACCTAAAGAAACCATTCTTATTATAAAACCTAATTGACTTAATGTTGAATAAGCAACAATTTTTTTTAAATCTAATTCAAAATTAGCAACTAATCCAGCAAATAATATTGTTAATCTAGAAACAAATAAAATAATATTTTTAAATTCAATATTTAATAAATCAACATATCGAATTAATAAATAAATTCCTGCAGTAACTAATGTTGATGAATGAACTAATGATGAAACAGGAGTTGGAGCTATTATTGCTATTGGTAATCAAGTAGAAAATGGTATTTGAGCTCTTTTTGTAAAAGCCATTATTAATAAAAAAAATATTATAAATTTATCTATTTTATATAAAATTAAATTTCATCTACCAAAACAAGTTACAAAACATATTATTATTAATAAACCTGAATCTCCTACTCGATTTAAAATAATAGTAACCATTCCTGATCTAAAAGATTTTATTTTTATATAATAAATTACTAAACAATAAGAAATTAATCCTAATCCATCTCAACCTAAAATAATTGATAATATATTAGGACTAAGAATTAATAAATACATTGAAGCTAAAAATAAAATTATTAAATAAAAAAATCGATTTATTATTAATTCATCTAATCTTATATACCTAATTCTATAAATAATAATCATTGAAAAAATATTCCTTACTAAAAAAATAAATATTAATGATTTATAATCAATCAATACATAAAAATTAAATTTTATTGAATTAATTGAATAAATTAATCATTCTAAAAAAAAACATTTATTAATTAACATTAAATATAATCTTATTATTATTATTAATAATCTAAATAAAAATAATATAATTCCACAAACTAATATTTTTAAAATAATTTAAAATAAAATAAATTTATATCATTGATATCACAAATCAATATTTTAACTTAAACTATTTAAATAAATAAAATATAATTTTAAAAATATTATATTTAAAGGAATTCAATGCATTATTAAAATAAAATATTCAACTAATAATCCATTATTAATTTTAAATTCAATATAAATTTTTCCATGATTAATAAATATAAATAAATAAATAGAATAAATAAATCTAAATAAACAATATATAATTAAAACAATAAATATATATTTTAATCAAGAAATTAATCCAATTATTAATAAAACTTCTCTTACTAAATTTAATGAAACTGGTGATCCTATATTTGATGAACATAACATAAATCATAATAAAGCAACAGAAGGTATAAAATTAATCATTCCTTTATTAATAAACATTAATCGTCTATTAGTTTGCTTATAAATTATATTTACTAAAAAAAATAAACCAGAAGATCTTAAACCATGAGAAATTATTATTATATAACTACCAATTAAACTTAATTTTAAAAAAGTTAATATTCCTATAATTAATAATCCTATATGAACAATTGATGAAATCGCAATAATAGATTTTATATCATATTGACACAAACACATTAATCTTAATGCTAAAACTCCAATTGAATTAATAATTACTAAAAAATTTGTAAAATAAAAAAAATTAATTTTAAAAATTATTATTAATCGTAATATACCATATCTGCCTAATTTTAATATAATTGAAGCCAAAATTATTGATCCATAATATGGAGCTTCTACATGAGCTTTTAATAATCATCCATGAAATATATATAATGGAATTTTAACTAAAAAAGATATTAATAAATAAATAAATAATAATTCATATAATTCAAAATTAATATATTCTATTAATAAAAATATCAAACTACATTCAATTCAATATATATAATAAATAATATATAATATAGGTAAAGAAAAAACTATAGTATAAAATATTAAATAAAATCCTGATAATCAACGATTTTCTCTATACCCTCATTCAACTACTATATAAAAAATTAATAATAAACCTAATTCATAAAATAAATAAAATAATAACAAATTTATTGATATAAAAACTATTAATAATGAAATTATTAATAAAAAATTAATCAATAAACAATTTTTTATATTTATATTTAAAGAATAAAAAATTAATCCAAAAATTCATAAAGTTAATAAAATTAAACCATATGAATAAAAATTAAATCTTAAATTACAAAAAATTATAATTCAATCAATTCAACTATAATTAAATAAATTAAAAATTAAAACTAATATAATTAAATTACCTATAATTAAATTCAAATTTTTAATTTTTAAATAAAAAATTATCAACAAATAAAAAATTAATATTATTATCATTTTTTAAATCAGAACAATTAAATTTTTTTATATTTCTATAAGATCAAATTTAATATTCTTAAATTTTGATGACCAATTTCATAATTTATCCTTACAAGTAAAGATAACCCTAAAACTAATTCACAAACAGAAAAAACTAAATAAACTAAAAACAATCAAGGATTTATTTGAAAATAAATCATTAAAAACAATAAAGTAAATACTACAAATTCTATTATAATTATAAATCTTAAATAATAAATATTGTAATATAACATAAATAAAAAAAATAAAAATAACAATAAAAAAATAATTTTAATGAATTTTAAAATTATTACAATCGTTTATAACTTATAAATCTAATAAAAGCTAAATAGTTTAAAAAATAAAACATTAATTTTGTAAATTAAATATATAAATTATATTATTTTAGCTAAATTAAAATTTCAAAAAAATTTAAATAATTAAATATCAATAATTCCCAAAATTATTATTTTAAATTAAACTATTTTTTGATAATTAAAAATGAAAATAATTCCAATTTATATTTCAAAATTAATATTTTCAATATTATTAATATTATTAATAACAATTTTTTTAAATAAATTATATAACAATCCAATAATATTATTGATTTTTTTAATTATATATTCTATTTTCATTTCAATCTCATTATATACCATTTGTCCAATAAATTCATTATTAATTTTTATAACACTAATTGTATTTATTAGAGGTATATTAATTTTATTTTCATACTTTATTTCTTTATTAAATAAACCAATTAAAATTAAAATTAAATTTATTATTTTATCAATTATATCAACATTATTAATTAATAAATTATTAAAAAAATATTTTATTAACAATTTATATACAAGATTAATATTTAAAAATTTAAATTTAATATCATCATTATATATAAATCCCAATATTATTATATTTATATTAATAATTTTTATATTAATTATTACTTTATTATTAATAACAAAAATTTCTTTTATTGAAAAAAAAACTCTTCGACAAAAAAAATAATATAAATTAAATTATTAAATGAAAAAATATACAAATTTTTTTAATTCAAACGATTTTATAAAAATAATTATATCAACAATTTATTTACCAACACCAATAAATATTAATTATATATGAAATTTTGGATCAATTTTAGGTATTTTCCTAATAATTCAAATTATTTCAGGATTTATTTTATCAATACATTACTGTCCTAATATTGATATTGCATTTTGATCTATTACAAATATTATAAAAGATATAAATTCAGGATGATTATTTCGTTTAATTCATATAAATGGAGCTTCATTCTATTTTATAATTATATACATCCATATTAGACGAAATATATTTTATAATTCATTTAAATTAAACACAGTATGAGGAATTGGAATTTTAATTTTATTAATTTCAATAGCAGCAGCATTTATAGGATATGTACTACCATGAGGTCAAATATCTTATTGAGGAGCAACAGTAATTACAAATCTATTATCAGCTATTCCATATGTAGGAAATACAGTTGTTCTTTGAATTTGAGGTGGATTTTCAATTAATAATGCAACATTAAATCGATTTTTTTCTATTCATTTTATTTTACCATTAGTAATTTTATTTATAGTAATTTTACATTTATTTGCCCTTCATTTAACTGGTTCATCAAATCCATTAGGATCAAATTACAATAATTATAAAATTTCTTTTCATCCATACTTTTCAATTAAAGATCTTTTAGGATTTTATTTAATTTTATTTATTTTCATAATAATTAATTTTCAATATCCATATTATTTAGGTGATCCTGATAATTTTAAAATTGCTAATCCAATAAATACTCCTACACATATTAAACCAGAATGATATTTTTTATTTGCTTATTCAATTTTACGAGCTATTCCTAATAAACTTGGAGGAGTAATTGGTCTTGTTATATCTATTTTAATTCTTTATGTAACAATTTTATATAATAATAAATTAATAAATAATAAATTTAATATTTTAAATAAAATTTATTATTGATTTTTTATTAACAATTTTATTATACTAACATGATTAGGTAAACAATTGATTGAATATCCATTTATCAACATTAACATATTTTTTACTACAACATATTTTATATACTTCTTTTTATCATTCTATACAAGAAAAATTTGAGAAAAACTTATTTGAAAATATTAATTAAATAAATAAATTTTAAGTTAATGAACTTGAATAAGTTTATATTTTGAAAATATAATATAGAAATTAAAATTTTCTATTAACTTTTAAATATCTATCTATTTTAAAAATTAATTTTGTAATAAAAAATATTAGTATAAAAATAATACATATATATATATATATTTATGAAATTAAATTTATAATTTCTTTTATATAATATAAATATATTAAATAAATCATTACAATTATTAATATTTCAGTTCAACAAATATATATTAATTTATCATAACGAATTCGAGGTAAAATACCTCGAACCCAAATAATTAAACAAATATGATATAAATAAATAAAAATAAATATTATTGATCAATAATTTAAACCAAAAAATATCAAATTTAAAATCAATCTTATAAACATAATATTTATATATTCAGATAAAAAAATTAATACAAATATACCACTATAATATTCAATATTAAAACCAGAAACTAACTCAGACTCACCTTCAATTAAATCAAAAGGTGTACGATTTAATTCAATCAATATTCTTATAAAAAATATTAAATATAAAGGAAAAACTAAAATAACAAATTTAATCATATACTGATAATTAATAAATTCTAAAAAAGAAAATCTTTCAATTAAAATTATTAATCTAAAAACTAAAAAAAATAAATTAATCTCAAATGAAATTATCGTTGAAACTAAACGTATTGAACCTATAATAGCATAATTACAATTAGAAATTCAACCAACAAATAAAACAGGATAAACACTTAATCCCAAAATCAATAATATAAATAAAATTCTATAATTCAAATAATAAATTAAATTAATTCATGGATATAAAATTCATATAATTAATGATATTAAAAATATTAATATAGGACTTAAAATATATAAATTTGAATAATTAAAAAAATATCATTCTTTAGATAATAATTTCAATGCATCTCTAAAAGGCTGAAATAAACCTAATAATATAATTTTATTTGGACCCTTTCGATCTTGAATATAACCTAAAATTTTTCGTTCCAATAATGTTAAAAAAGCTACACTAATTAATACTATAATTATTATAACTAATAAATCAATAAAAATTCAAATTATTATTTATTAATTTTAATATTAATATAATTAAATTCTAAATTTAATGCACTATTATGCTAAAATAACAATTTATTTATTATATAATATAAACTATAAATTATTTAAAAATTAAAGTCCTTTCGTACAATTAATTTATAATTTATTATAGATAGAAACCAATCTGACTTACGTCGATTTGAACTCAAATCATGTAAGATTTTAAAAGTCGAACAGACTTAAATTATTAAACTCCTGCATTTAATTTTTATCTTAATTCAACATCGAGGTCGCAATCATCTTTATCAATATGACCTATCAAAAGATATTACGCTGTTATCCCTAAGGTAATTTATTCTTATATTTACAAATTATAAATCATTTTATATCTTTAAATCAAAATTAAATTTAAAAATAAAGTTTATTAAATTTATTAATCCTCCCAATCAAATTTAAATTATTATTTATTTATAAATAATTTAAATTAAATAATAAATTAAATAAAATTCTATAGGGTCTTATCGTCCCATAATTAAATTTTAGAATTTTAACTAAAAATTTAAATTCATTAAATAATTTAGAGACAGTAATTATTTCATTAATTCGTTCATTCAATTCTTCAATTAAAAGACAATTTATTATGCTACCTTTGTACAGTCAATATACTGCAGCTATTTAAATAATTTTATTCATGGAGCAGATCGACTTAAAATTATAATCAATAAGACATGTTTTTGATAAACAGGTGAATAATATATTTGCCGAGTTCCTTTAAATTATATATTTTATAAATAAAAATTCAAAATATAAAATTTATTACTAATTTAATCATTATTTCTATATTTTAAAAATTATAATATATATTTTTATAACAAAAATAAAATTTTAATTCTTTAAATCTTTATAATTAATTAAAAACTAAATTATTAAATTTTTTAAATTAAAAAACAATATTATATTCATAATATTAAAATTAAAAAATAAATTTTTATTATTAAATTTATAGTTTATCCCATAAATTTTTAATATAAAATTTAATAAATTAAATTAAAATTTAATTTATTAAAAAAAATTATATCTAAATTAAATTTATTTCTAAAAAAACTAGATATCAATAAGTTCGTCTAACATATAATTTCTAAATTTATATTTATAATTTTATTTCTACAAAAACAATAATATAAATTTAGCTCTCCTATTTTCGAGATAATTAAATTTTTAAATTATTTTTAATCAACCCTGATACAAAAGGTACAAAATTAAATTCTACTTATTTATATTTTTAAAAATTCATTCACATTACTTTCATTATAAATTTATAAATTATTTCAAAATTATTAATTAAACCTTAATTTATTTTAAAACTTTAAATAATATTAATTTAAATTATTCAAAAAAAAAAATTTATTAAATTAATTAAAATTTTAAATTTTATTTAATCTTTTCAATGTAAAAGAAATATTTTATATTAAACTAAAATTTTATCTACATTTTATTCTAAAAACACTTTCCAGTACTTTTACTATGTTACGACTTATTCCAACTTTTAAATGAAATTGACGGGCGATTTGTACACTTTTTAGAACTATTTTCAATTAAAATAATTATTTTAATTTACTTTTAAATCCTCTTTCAAATTTATATTAAAATAAATTATCCAAAAATTTAATTTATTGAAATTCATTTTAAACCTTAAATATACTGCATTTTGATTTGAATTTATATTATAAAAAATATTATTAATTTAAATTTATTTGAATTATTTAAACAACAATACACAAGTAAAATTTAAGTATTTCTTATCGTGGATTATCAAATTAATAAACAAATTTCTCTAATTAGATATAAAAAGCCGCCATATTATTTAATTTTAATGATTCAACATTTAATTATTTAATATTTTAAATTAATTTTATAATAGGGTATCTAATCCTAGTTTTTAAATAAATTTTATAATTTATAAATTATTAGTATAAATAATTATTATTATTAATTACAAATTTCACCTTAAATTAATAAATTTAATTATTTTATATAACTTAAATACTTATTTTAATCAATTAATTTTAATTAATTTATAAATTAAGTCTAACCGCTATTGCTGGCACTTATATTTATCTCTATTAAATTTAATTTCCGAATAAAACTTTCATTTATTGTTACAGATTTAATTATTAAATATTTTAACTTAAATTTTTAATATAAATTTTAAATTTTATATATAATATATTAATATAATTAATTTAAAAAACTATAATATAATTTTTCTAATAAATAAATTTATTTTTATTTTTATAAATTATTATAAATCAACAAAAATAATAATCTAAAAATAAAATATTTAAATTCTAAAATCAACAAATATAATTTATTATTCATAAATATAAATTTAAATTAAAAATTATTAGATAGTTTTTTTTTTTTTTTTTTTTATATTTATATACAAATTTAATTTATACGTATAATTTATATTATATATAATATAGATAAAAAAATATTAATTAGATTAATTAAATATATTTTATATTAATAATTTAATTAATAAAATAATTATATATATATATATATAATTATTTATATATATATAATTTATTATATTTATATATATGTATAATATTTATTTAATATTATATAATATATTTATATAAATATATATATGTATATAAATATAATTTATATATATATAAATAAATATATTAATCTAAAAAACCCAATATATATATAATTAAATAATATATATATATATTAATAATTTAATTAATAAAATAATTATATATATAATTATTTATATATATATAATTTATTATTTTTATATATATGTATAATATTTATTTAATATTATATAATATATTTATATAAATATATATATGTATATAAATATAATTTATATATATATAAATAAATATATTAATCTAAAAAACTCAATATGTATATAATTAAATAATATATATATATATTAATAATTTAATTAATAAAATAATTATATATATAATTATTTATATATATATAATTTATTATATTTATATATATGTATAATATTTATTTAATATTATATAATATATTTATATAAATATATATATGTATATAAATATAATTTATATATATATAAATAAATATATTAATCTAAAAAACTCAATATATATATAATTAAATAATATATATATATATTAATAATTTAATTAATAAAATAATTATATATATAATTATTTATATATATATAATTTATTATATTTATATATGTGTATAATATTTATTTAATATTATATAATATATTTATATAAATATATATATGTATATAAATATAATTTATATATATATAAATAAATATATTAATCTAAAAAACTCAATATATATATAATTAAATAATATATATATATATTAATAATTTAATTAATAAAATAATTATATATATAATCATTTATATATATATAATTTATTATATTTATATATATGTATAATATTTATTTAATATTATATAATATATTTATATATATATATGTATTTAAATAAATATATTATATGAATATATACAAATTATAAATTTATAAATTATAAATTTATACTAATAATAAATCAAATAATTTTAAAAATATGAATAATATAATAAATTTAATTTTTTAAATTAAAAAAATAAATAAATCAACAAAAATTAAACCAAAAACAAAATAAATTAAACAAAAAATAAATAAATCAACAAAAATTAAACCAAAAACAAAATAAATTAAACCAAAAAATAAATAAATCAACAAAAATTAAACCAAAAACAAAATAAATTAAACAAAAAATAAATAAATCAACAAAAATTAAACCAAAAACAAAATAAATTAAACCAAAAAATAAATAAATCAACAAAAATTAAACCAAAAACAAAATAAATTAAACAAAAAATAAATAAATCAACAAAAATTAAACCAAAAACAAAATAAATTAAACCAAAAAATAAATAAATCAACAAAAATTAAACCAAAAACAAAATAAATTAAACCAAAAAATAAATAAATCAACAAAAATTAAACCAAAAACAAAATAAATTAAACCAAAAAATAAATAAATCAACAAAAATTAAACCAAAAACAAAATAAATTAAACCAAAAAATAAATAAATCAACAAAAATTAAACCAAAAACAAAATAAATTAAACAAAAAATAAATAAATCAACAAAAATTAAACCAAAAACAAAATAAATTAAACCAAAAAATAAATAAATCAACAAAAATTAAACCAAAAACAAAATAAATTATTCAAATTTATAAATAATATAAATAAAATTAATATACATTAATTATAATATT